CTCCTTGAGGAGGCTGCTCCAGGATTTGTGTCCCTCAGCTCAGCAGCAGCAGGTACTCCTTGAGGAGGCTGCTCAGGATTCGTGTTTCTCAGCTGAGCAGCAGCAGATACTCCTTGAGGAGGCTGCTCAGGATTTGTGTCCCTCAGCTGAGCAGCAGCAGATACTCCTTGAGGCTGGTGGGCAGCGGCAGCTGCTCGACGGCCTCAGGCAGGAAGCGCACGCCGAGGCTGCGGCGCACGGCGCAGCGCGCCAGGCCCTGCAGGCTGCCGGGGGCGGTGCCCAGCGTGCCCAGCCTGTCCCCGAGCCGCGGGTCCCGGTCCCGCGCCGCCTCCCAGGGCTCCAGGTGGCCGGCGGCGCGGCGCAGCAGCTCCAGGCACGAGTCCTCGCGCTCGGAGCCCAGCCCGCGCAGCAGCAGCGCCACGAGGCGCGAGGCCGGGCTCTGCCCCTTCAGGTTGCGCACCCGCGCCTCGGCGCCGAAGTCCAGCAGCACGGCCACGCTCTCCAGGTTGCCCTTCATGGCGGCCCAGCTGAGCGGGGTGTCGGCGTTGTAGTCGCGCGCGTTGACCAGGGCGCCGCCGTCCAGCAGCGCCCGCGCGCACTCGGCGTGGTTCTTGAAGGCCGCCCAGTGCAGGGGGGTGTCGCGGTTGCCGTCGGCCGCGTTGGGGTCGGCGCCGAACTCCAGCAGCAGCTCCACGCACGCCTCGTCCTTCTCGGCCGCGTAGTGCAGAGCGGTGCGGCTGTACCCGTCCAGGGCGTTCACCTGCAGGGACAGGGGTAGACCTGGCCCAGGGCCGAGAGTGACCGGGGTTAGACCTGGCTCTGTACCTGTCCAGGGCGTTCACCTGCAGGGACAGGGTTAAACCTGGCTCTGTACCCGTCCAGGGCATTCACCTGAGCCATGGGGACAGGGTTAAACCTGGCCTAGGGCTGAGATTAACTGGAACCTGGCCAAAAACTGTACCCATCCAGGGCGTTCACCTGAACCACGGGGACAGGGTTAGACCTGGCTCTGTACCCGTCCAGGGCATTCACCTGCAGGGACAGGGGTTAAACCTGGCTCTGTACCCGTCCAGGGCGTTCACCTGAGCCATGGGGACAGGGTTAGACCTGGCTCTGTACCCATCCAGGGCATTCACCTGAACCATGGGGACAGGGTCAGACCTGGCCTAGGGCTGAGATTAACTGGAACCTGGCCAAAAACTGTACCCATCCAGGGCGTTCACCTGAACCACGGGGACAGGGTTAGACCTGGCTCTGTACCCGTCCAGGGCATTCACCTGCAGGGACAGGGGTTAAACCTGGCTCTGTACCCGTCCAGGGCGTTCACCTGAGCCATGGGGACAGGGTTAGACCTGGCTCTGTACCCATCCAGGGCATTCACCTGAACCATGGGGACAGGGTTAGACCTGGCCTAGGGCTGAGATTAACTGGAACCTGGCCAAAAACTGTACCCGTCCAGGGCGTTCACCTGCAGGGACAGGGGTTAAACCTGGCTCTGTACCTGTCCAGGGCGTTCACCTGAGCCAAGGGGAACAGGGTTAGACCTGGCTCTGTACCCGTCCAGGGCATTCACCTGAGCCAAGGGGACAGGGGTTAAACCTGGCTCTGCACCTGTCCAGGGTGTTCACCTGAGCCAAGGGGACAGGGGTTAAACCTGGCTCTGCACCTGTCCAGGGTGTTCACCTGAGCCATGAGGAACAGGGTTAAATCTGGCCTAGGGCTGAGATTAACTGGAACCTGGTTGAAAACTGGCCTAAATCTAATCTTAATTTAAATCTGACCTAAACCTGACCAAAACCTGACCTAAACCTAACCGAAACCTGACCTAAACCTGACTGAAACCTGACCTAAACTTAACTGAAATCTGACCTAAACCTGACTGAAACTTGACCTAAACCTAACTGAAACCTGACCTAAACCTAACTGAAATCTGACCTAAACCTGACTGAAACTTGACCTAAACCTAACCAAAACCTGACCAAAACCTAAGTGAAACCTGACCTAAGCCTAACCGAAACCTGACCTAAACCTACCTGAAACCTGACCTAAACCCAAACTTAATGTAAACCTAATCTAAACCTAACCTTAACTTAAACCTTTAAGTTAATCCTAACCTTAAATTAGGTTCAGTTTAAGTT